GTGTGTCTGTCTGTGTGTGTGTGTGTGTGTGTGTGTGTGTGTGTGTGTGTGTGTGTGTGAGAGAGAGAGAGAGAGAGAGAGAGAGAGAGAAAGAGAGAGAGAGAGAGGACCTACATTTTCTCAGTCCTGGTTTGATTCTGAAATGTCCTCCATGGTCCAAACTAACAGAGAAAAAAACACAAACACACAAACAAAAAAAGATTTTATATGAAGGAAGATTGTTAAAACTACAAATAAAATGAGTTTTGTCGTTCCCTCATGTCGTTCCAAACCCTTCAGACCCATCAGCGTCATCTTTCAAACACAAATTAAGATATTTTTTATGAAACCTGAGAAATTTCTGTCCATTGTTTCAAGATCCAAAAACGACATAAAGGCATCGTAAAAGTAATTCATATGATTTAAGCGGTTTAATCCAAGTGTCATGAAAAGACACAATCACTTTACATGATGAATAGATATAATTTAGATTTTTATTCAAATTTTATTTCATGAACATTGATCAAAACACACATAATGTGAGTAGTGTGCATGAAATATAGTAAACACATATTCTGGCTGTCTGTGCTTTTTGATTTAGTTGAATTTAGTCAAGTTAGTTATCCTGTGTATTTAAGGCCCTGCGTTTACTGTGTTGTAGTAGTTAGTCAGTAGTTAGATGTAGATGTTTGTGTTCCTGCCCTGCATATTCCTTGGTTCCTGATGGTTTGGTTTATTAAATCATCCTGCACCTAGACCCTTGTCTGCACCTTCCTTCATGGCTCTCTTGTTTCAAGGACTTCTCTAGGCAAGCTGTGAAAAATCCCTCTTAGGTAACCCAAATCACATACAGACACACATATGAGTCATAACTGCCCCACATACTTGAGTATCTGCAGTTTATAGTTTGGATCCTGCAGTTTGTGTTTGAGCAGCTGGACTCCTGATGGTCCTGGGTGATTGTAGCTCAGATCCAGCTCTCTCAGGTGTGAGGGGTTTGAACTCAGAGCTGAAGACAAATAACCACAGCCTTCCTCTGTCACCATACAGCCAGACAACCTACAGAAACACACACACACAGACAGATCATCTACAGCACTGGTCACCAACCTTTTAGGCCCAAGATCCCTGACCTCGGCCTTTATGAAAGAGTGTTATTTATTTATTTGCTACATAAAACATCTGCACGAAACGAAAACAGCAGGTCTGAATAAGACGCACTCTCTGACAGCAGGTGGCACCTATGAACAGGGTTGCCAGGTTCCATCGTGATCGACGGGTTGGTGACCACTGATCTACAGACATAAATCAATATTATGACCAGATAACTGTACATAATCCCTTGTTCTTAATACCTCAGTATCTCCAGCTGACAGTTTGGACTCTTCAGTCCATCAGAGAGCAGCTTCACTCCTGAATCCTGCAGGTCATTGTTACTCAGATCCAGCTCTCTCAGGACACAGTTTGAGGATTGAAGAGCCGATGACACAATTTCACTATCCAGAGCAGTGAGATTACAGCCAGCAACACTGAAAGAGAGCAGAACACATGATAACTAAATTCTTAACCTTATTCTTCAATTTGTATTTCAATAATATCAGCTTAATTCTGAATTAAGACATAACTAAACACTTACAGGGCTTTTGTGCAGTTGATCACAGCTGGTATCAATCTTCTTATACCCTCATCTGATGTGTTGTATTTCTTGAGGTCCAGCTCATCCAGCGGCTCCTCTGACATCTGAAGCATGTAGGCGATTGTTGAGCAGTGAGCAGGAGAGAGTTTCTTCTCTGAGTGTTTGTCTGATTTCACAAACTCCTGAATCTCTCTGGACAGAGTCTGATCTTTCACTTCCAGCAGACAGAGGAACAGATTGATGGATCTTTCAGTGGAGAGTCCATGTCCATCTTTGATCTTCTCTTTAATGTACTGTGTGGTTCTCCTGATGCTCTCTGAGCTGTTCTCTGTGTGTGTCAGTAGATCCTGTAAGAGTCTCTGATTGGACTCCAGTGAGATACCCAGCAGGAACCGCAGGAACAGATCCAGGTGTCCATTCTTACTCTCAAGAGCTTTATCTACTGCATCTCTATGCAGATTATGTATCACATCGCAAAATTGCAATGTATCAATATGTATCATTACATAATGGTAAAACACAAAGAAAGCAGCGAGAAACTCCTGAACACTCAGATGGATGAAGCTGTAGACTTTCCTCTGATGAATCACAGACTCCTTCTTAAAGATCTCAATGCAAATCCCAGAATACACTGAGGCGTCAGTGATGTCTATGCCGCTCTCAATCAGGTCCTCCTCACAGAACATCACATTGCCCTTCATCAGCTGTTTGAAAGCCACTTCAGCAAGTTTCACAATCAATTCTCTGTTGGACTGCAGGAGTTTCTCTGGATCTCTGTCTTCATACTTCTGGTTCCTCATGTTGATCTGAATCAGCAAGAAATGGATGTACATTTCAGTCAGAGTTTGAGGGATTTCTGCACTCAGATCTTCTTCCAGGAGCTTCTGAAGCACAGTGGATGAGATCCAGCAGAAGACGGGGATGTGGCACATGATGTGGAGGCTTCTTGCTCTTCTGATGTGTGAGATGATTCTGCTGGCTTGATGCTGCTCACTGATTCTCTTCCTGAAATATTCCTCCTTCTGAGGCTCATTGAATCCCTGAATTTCTGTCAGACGGTTGATGTATTTGGAGGGGATCTGATTGGCTGCTGCTGGTCTGGAGGTGATCCAGATGAGAGCAGAGGGAAGCAGCTCTCCTTTCATGAGCTTTGACATCAACACAGCCACTGATGAAGTCTCAGTCACATCACAAACTTTCTGAGCGTCTGAAAACATCAGTGTGATTCTGCTTTCATCCAGACCATCAAAGATGAACACAACTTTACACTCCTCATAAATCTGTGAGTCCAGATCTTGAAGTTCAGGATGAAAGTCCAGCAGAAGTCTGTGAAGACTGTACTGATGATCTTGGATCAAGTTCAGCTCTCGAAATGGAAGCACAAAAATGAAATCTACATCCTGATTGGCTTTTCCGTCGGCCCAGTCCATAATGAACTTCTGCACAGAGACGGTTTTTCCAATTCCAGCGATGCCTTTAGTAAGAACAGTCTTGATCTGATCTTTCTCTTCACATCCTGGTTCAGTTGAGGCTTTAAAGATGTCATTGCAGTAGATTGGAGTGTCTTGTGAGTTTTGTGTTCTGGCTGTTTTCTCCATCTGTAAAACCTCATGTTCTTTATTCACTCCATCACTCTCTCCCTCTATGATGTAGAGCTGTGCATAGATCCTGTTCAGGAGGGTTTCATTCTCTTGGAGTTTGTTTCCCTCAAATAATCTCTCATACTTGTTCTTCATGCTGGTTTTGAGCTGGTCTTTGACTCTCTGATGGTCTCCAGTGTCCAGTGTGTGTTTCTGCAGGACTGTGTCGTCCTGCCTGATGTGAGTCTGAGAGTGGGATGCAGAGGACGACACAGATCTGATCATCTCATTTATATCTCCCCTGCTGAAATTGAAAAGAAAATAGCTGCAAAATCACTGTTCAATGTCTGTTGAAGACAATCTAATATTTGTTCCCAGGTATTATTTTGATGCCCCTCTTTAAAATATATATGTTGAAACATAAATATGTTGCTGTCACAGTGCGCCTACTGCGAGGAGCAAGGAGACGTGGGAGAATCCAGAACAATCAGACTTTATTTACAACATGGGAACACGCACGTAGCACACAGGGATTGATGGTTTAGACTAGACGCCAGACTCAGGAAAGCACAGGGCTAATAAACACAGGGAAAGTAATCAGGGAGAACTGAATCATGTGGAGTAATTAATTAAAACCCATGGAAACTAAAGAGGGAACACCTGAATTCAAAGAACACAATCACCACGAGGGATAAACTACATCACAGGAGGGAACATGGAACACGAAACAGTACATAGGCGTGACATTACTCCCCCCTCCCGGAAGGCGCATCCTGTGCCGCTCTGGAGGCCTCTAGGGACAGGCTTAAACGAGACGGACGGCCTCCAGGGCGGTATCCGTTCCGGGACCCATGGCAGAGCAGACCGTTCAGGAGGCCATGGCGGAGCAGATCGTTCAGGAGGCCATGGCGGAGCAGGGAGACTAGGAGCCATGGTGGAGCAGGGAACTCGGGGCCATGACGGAGCAGGCAGCTCGGGGAGCCATGGCGGGGCAGACAGTTCAGGGGGCCTGGCCTCAGCACTTGGCCCGACCTCTACGGACGGATCCCTATAGCCTCCCCTCCTCCCCCTCCCCCCAAAAAAATCCTTGGGGAGAATATCGGCTTCTGAGGCCCTCCGTAAGCCTAACTCGGGAACTGTGGCCCTCCCTGGACTTGACATGGAAACAGGAGCCCTCCTTGGGCTGAACGTGGGAACTGGAGCCCTTTCAGGAGCGGACTCAGGGGCTGGACGGCCTCAGGGGCTAAAGCGGACTCGGGGGCTTGAGCCGACACTGGAGCGGACTCAGGGGCTGGAGCCGACACTGGAGCGGACTCAGGAGCTGGAGCTGACACTGGAGCGGACTCAGGGGCTGGAGCCGACACTCTATTCCTCTGCATTTTCCCTTCATAAGCAGAGGTGAAGGAGACTGCTGCTGTCAGCTGAGGGCTTGGGAGAGAATTGGCCGACGGGCTTGACAATGGAACCGCCGGCGGGCTTGAATTCGGAGTGGCCAGCGGGATTTGAGAAGGGATTTGAGTCTTCTGTCACGGTGCGCCTACTGCGAGGAGCGAGGAGACATGGGAGAATCCAGAACAATCAGACTTTATTTACAATATGGGAACGCGCACGTAGCACATGGGGATTGATGGTTAAGACTAGATGCCAGACTCAGGAAAACACAGGGATAATAAACACAGGGAAAGTAATCAGGGAGAACTGAAACATGTGGAGTAATTAATTAAAACCCATGGAAACTAAAGAGGGAACACCTGACATCAGAGAACACAATCAACACGAGGGATAAACTAGGTCACAGGAGGGAACATGGAACACGTGGGAGAGGACAACAGACACCAAAACAGTACATGGGTGTGACAGTTGCAGACTTTGGGGTACATTTAGTGTTATTTTTAAAAAAAGTGTTATTTTTTCATTGTTATTCTTCTGAGATGCACTAGAGTAAATTAGCAAGTGAATGTTTATACTAACAGAGGATCAGAGGTCACTGGTCCATCACAGAAAACAGGGGGTCGATTCTGCATGGATCTGTTACTCTTCACAGACACACAGCTGGGTTCTGGAGACTCTGCTCTCGATCTCTTCCTCCTGCTGACGCTGAGAGAAGACAAATAAAACATTAAAATATAGCACTTTATGCAAAAGTACAGCAACATTATTCAGTGACAAGTTTCATGTCTGTTGAGAGGAGAAAAGACTAAAATAGAGATGAAAAAAGGAACAGTTCATTTTAAAAAATCAAGGGGCTGCTGAGGAAAGGTTGAAAAATCATTCCACTACCAAGAACCAGTGAGAGTGAAGTTTCAGGAAAGTGATTTGTGATGGTGCCATGAGGTTATGTGGACTACACTGTGCATTTACATTTATGCATTTGGCAGATACAAAGCAAATATATACACTTTGTCATAGGGGTGGGCGATATGGAAAAAATATCATATCACAATTTTTTTTTTTTCTGAAATATCACGATTCTTTGTCATGTTGGTTTTACTATTTTGCAAATTGTCTGAGCATAACAGCCAAACTAATTTCCCTATTATAAAGGCAAAGCCTTTCAAGGTAACAAAGTAAAATAAAAAAGGCAGATATTTAGGTCAAAGTGGGCGAAGATAAACATCTTTTTATGTCATAATTTTATCTTTGTTATTAAAAAATAAGAGCAAAGATACACATTACAACTACACATAATATACAAGTAAAACAAACAGTGCTTTATTTTCAGATACAATAGGTGTATTTAGCAGGAGCATTCAAGAAATTGAATGAACAGATATGAAAATAAAACACTATATAGACTGATTTCTAATACAACTGTATGAAAGTTTTTCAGTCAAGAATAGTGAGTGATTTTTCTCTTTGTGTTTTCTTGTTTTATTAACATTAAAGGAATAGTTCACCCAAAAATACAAATTCTGTCATCTGTCTGTCAATTCTTTCATAGTGTTTTATTTTTATACCATCATTTACTCACTCAAAATTGTTTTAAACCTGAATGAGTTTTTTTCTTCTGCTGAACATAAATGCTATTTTAAAGAATGTGGAAACCTAACAGTTGCTGGTCCACAGTGACTTCCGTAGTATTATTTCCTACTATGAAATTAAATGTGGACCAGCAACTGTTTGGTTACCCACATTCTTCAAAATATCTTCTTTTGTGTTCAGCACAAGAAATAAATTAATGCAGGTTTGGAACGACATGTGCGTGAGTAAATATTGACAGAAATTAAATTTTAGGGTGAATTATCCCTTTAATGACAGTCGGCAGCATGTTTAATAATGTCCCTTTAAGACCTGCATGCATCCGTTTTTATCTCAACTGTTTTCTTTCATTTTAGACATAACCAACTGAGTCTATACATAAACCTTGTGTGTTCTGACAGTATTAGCGCAAAAGATAACTTAGTTCAGTAATCAGGGGCTGTTTGACAGGGTTTTTAGTGCGCGCGCTTCGGATGTAGGCCAAAATGAAATTAATGAAACATTTAACCGGTGTTCTGTCGATTTGTGCTACCCTGTCAGATTTTGCTACCTCCCATTAAAACAGTGGGTAGTACAATTCGACAACGAAAAATGCTTCCTGTAAAATTATGGTTTATTAACGTCTACACCTACCAAAACCCTACCACCTACCACCTACACCTACCAAAAGTCTAACCTTACAGTAATGTAAATACAGTAATTCTGTGTTATATTCGCGGTTGTGGCTAGAAGTGATACAGCTACAGGAAACCAACAATAAATCTTCTACTTATTAGATTGTGTTTTAATAATGTCTACACCTACCCCAACACTAAACCTACCCTTACAGTAATGTACTTTTGTGATTGCGAATAAGTGCAGTGTCCCGCGAGTTAACCCTGATGTGAATGTATGTCGTGTTGTACCGTGTCTTGAGACGGAGGAGGTGCCAGAACTGCAGCTGATTGAATGAGGTAGACACACATCCGCCATTAAAGCAAGTAACAGTGAGTAAAAACAGTTTACCGTCCACGATCAAAAATCGTCATATCGCACACCCCTACTTTCTCAGTTCTTGCATTCTCTAGGTATTAACCCCATGATCTTGACATTTATTGACACTTCTGAAAAAAAGAGGCTAATTGCATACCAGGGGTCAGAGGTCACTGCATCTCTGATTGCAGGGGGCAGCTTTTGTATGGATTCATCACTTAGAGATGTGTGGCCTGATCCAGGAGATGAAGAGCTCGCTTCAGACATAGTGTCTTCATTCTCTCTTTCCTCACGGAAACTCATTTTGGAGGTACTGCTCTCCTACTTTATGTGTTTCAGAAAGAGCATGACTGCAGACCTTTTATGTGGAAGGAAAATATGTAGTTATAAAGTTAAACAGTAACATTGCAATAATTAAACTGGACACGTGAATGAAACAGCATTCACAGAGAAAATGTAATCTCTCTCTCTTAAATAGTAGTACAAATAATACAAAAAATACATATTTTATTCAATACACACATTTACACATATTCATCTACTTAAAAAAAATTCATATTATTATTATTATTATTATTTTTGTTTAAATAACAGTAGGATTTTTAAACATGTTGTAATTTACATTTTGTAGAAAAAGCAGAGGAAATGTTTGACCATATTTGTTCAGGCTGCACAATATGTGCATTAAAAAGTGTCCCTTCAATGAAATATCTTCAAACTCGACCGTAATTTACCGTCAAACTTTTGTTGATGCCAAAGGATCTAGAAATACTGTACTACCAGGATATAAAACAATTATGACGAGTCTATATGTTATTTAATAATATTTATTAAAACAAAAATCGTTGTAAAATTGTCAAGTAAACATATAAGTGCTTTAATTATTAGACGACTTCGTCTGCGTTTCTGCCATTATGGTCAGCTAGTTTGCACATTAAACTGTAAAGATCTGTTTAAAATCACATACAGAAAAACAGAAACATTTTTAGATAATTTTCATATGGCTACATATTTATGCTACATAAAGAATAGGTTCTGGACTTACCACGAAATATGCGTACCGTTTATACTCTTTGTTAAAATGTTTAAACCCTCAAAATGGCGTGCTTGCTTTTACTTTCGTTTAGTCTCTTGAGGTGTCTGCTGAGTTTGTTTACCTTTTAGCTCCAGTCACACGAAACACAATGCGCTCCCTCTAGAGGCGCAGAGCAGCACCACTCTCTCAGAGTGTGCTATAATCAATGAAATAATAGCTTTTTGTTAGATAAACTACATATATCTCTACATACTTAGAGTATACATAGAGTATATAACTACAAGGATTTACCTACATGACAAAACCCTGTTAAATATTCAGCTATTAAATGCATTTAGTTCTGTGTGTGTGTGTGTGTGTGTGTGTGTGTGTGTGTGTGTGTGTGAGAGAGAGAGATAAACATCCTACATTCTTTCAGTCCTAGTCTGATTCTAAAATGGCCTCCGTAATCCAAACTAGAAAGAGACAAATACAAATGACAGATGATAAGCAGATGATTTTTTCCTCTGCGCTGTAAAAAACAACCTATAGAATCTACTCAGTAAAACTGAGGTAACAGTTTGCACTGTTTGTGTGAGTAGATTCTATCCTATCTGTTTGGGTAAGGAATACCTAAATTTAACAGCTATGACAAACTAAAAAAATTGGTAAAGTATACCTAATATTTTTCAATACACTACACAAATAATTACCTATAAAAAAATAGTAATATAAACTCTATTTTTAGCAGGCAATAGTTCATCTACTAAATTATTATTCATAATAATTAGCCAATAGGAATAATTATGCATTATTTAAGCCATTTTGACACCCTAGGCGAAATCACTATTACCCCACAAACAAGCACATATAAGATAATAACATAAAACTGATTCTGTAAACACTCAAATCTTAAATAAAAACCTTGACACATTTCCAAATTATAGGTGCATATAGATTATCATAATTTCTTTTCAGACATCAGTTTCTTGTCACATTCAAATTGGTTGTCATAGTAAACGCATTATTTGCAAATTAACTGTGAGGATAAACACTGCACAATTTATTATCTGTACTATCATTGTGTAGCCACTAGATGCCTGTATAGCCCTATGTAACAATGCATAGTTTCTAAGAAATGAATAAACGTAAATAGACAGGATAAACGCAGCCCCAGTGACTGTAGAAACATCCAGTGGAACAAGAGCTGTGTGGGAAATTAGATTGGGCAGGTCTTACAGCAAATGACCTTTGGCAATATCAAATATCAACAGAGAAGAGTTTAAGTAGCATAGCTGTATCAACTGAGACGCTTATGTGTGATAATGTTAACTGTAAGAATACTAAAGATATTATTGACTTATGTTTGATGTATGATGAAATAGTGTATTGTTTAAATAATGCCAGAAGACCTTTCTGTCAAGAAGTAGTTAAAAGTGATCTTTTTAGGGCTGGATGGAATTAATATGTATCTGAATTGCATTTTGGAGGCTAGAGATGCTTTTAAAAATGGGGTTTTAACAGGGAAAGCAAGGTATGGCCCAGAATTTGAGAAAAAGAAATGGGCAAATGCCAAATTATATACGCTGTACGGTTTATTAAAAGAAATGAAGCAACCATGAGAGCAAACTCAATGGCAAAGACATCTCAGAAAAGTTATGTTCATGACTTTTGGAAAGAAGTTGAGGTTATTAATAATAGTAAAGTACCGCTGCCAGCTAGTATTGAAGGGGTTGCTGGGGCTGAGAATATTGTCAGATTGTGGAGAGGATATTATAGGGACATTTTTAATTGTGTTGAGAAGCAGGAATCTGTACCGAGTAGTACTGGTGTGATATCTTCTGAGCTTAATTATGCTATTGAGAAATTGGCCGTAAATAAAGCATGTGGCCCTGATTTAATAGTCGCTGAACATCTGAAATATGCTAGCCAAACTATTGTAGTGTTACTTGCTTTGTTTCTTACAGGATTTTTGATACGTGGTATTATCAACCAAATTATCTTTGTCCCAAAACATGGAGGGCACTGTATTTACAAGTGCAGATTTCACTGATTTATCCTGTAAGCATACATTATTTACAGCATGAATTACAAAGCACGGTTTTATTACCCTTATAAACTAAAATATACTGTTAGAGTAAGAAATAGTTAAAATATAATGGCTAAACAAATCAGTACCTTTTCAGTTTCATTTATTGTTGAGCATCATTACACAAGTGCTCTTGTGGACAAAATAATGCTCTCATTTGTTTGACTTCAATCCACATTTCTACAGAATGACTGAACAAACTTCACCCAACTGTGTTCTTGAATCAGAAAGATTTGGAAAAACTGAAATCGCTGCATAATAATGTTCATTGCAAAGACACTGTGAGATTTACTGTTTGAGACTGTTACTGACAGCCTCTTATGAACATCATCTTATATATTTCACATTACCTCTCCAATTATTTTTGCTGATGGTTTTTGTTTGATCTCTGTGTTTATATTTCACTTTCAAAATCACCAGCCTTTAAAAGACTAAAAAAATCATTATGTTTTCAACATAACCATAACAAAAACAAGCAGAAAGACAGACAGAAAATGAGGTTTCCATTAATAGCTAATGCAGTAAAAGTTGTTTATTTCCAGTAAGAGCTAATGCCCTCATCAGGACACTCACAGAAGAGCACAAGCAGGAGCACAACACCACCACGACTGCTGGTTTGATCTTTTGACAAAAGTGGAAGGCGAGCAGTTTTACGAACTAATCGATAAATCAGAAGTACATAAATAAATAAATACAATCGACACTGAATTTGACACTAGATTGCACACACATTGACTCGTCTGGTCGTATATGTATCTATGGTCTTTCTGTCTTTACTGCAGCATGAGCAGATGTCCGTTCTGATGTTCGATGACATTGTGAAGCGTCTGAAGGCTGAGAATGAAGACGTGTTGAAAGAACATGGACTGGATGATAAAGACGTCACCTTCATTAATGCAAATATAGTGAACTGTTGTACTTTATGGTATCAAAGCTAAAGATCATGGCAGCAAATAAAGGTCATCTCAATACAGCACAACTGCAGATCAGGCCAGAAAACACAACCACAGCTGCAGTTACTGCAACTTTACAAACTGAACTCAACAGCAGCTGATAGCAGCTAGAACTGCATTTACAGCTGCACTTTCTGGAATATATGTCAGTTATTGTTTACATTTAAACATAAACATTTCAAGCAGAATGTTCAGATATTTGTGATATGTGACCCTGGACCACAAAACCAGTCATAAGGGTCAATT